GATGTTTCTGCCTAGAGCGCCATGTTCTCTACTTTAATTCTTATTATTTCCTTTCTTCTGACGCCTGAGGGCTTCTTTTGCTGTTCTCTTTCTACTTGTTCGAGTTGTAGTGTTACTGTTTTGGTTTTGGCCCTTTCTTCTTTTTAGATGTGTGCATTTATTGCTATGAACTGACCTCTGAGCACTGCTTTCCCAGTTTCCCAAAGGTTCTGGTAGGATGTGTTTTCATTCTTGTTTGATTCTATGAATTTCTTTATTCCATCCTTAATTTCTTCTATTACCCAGTATTTCTTGAGCAAGATGTTGTTCAGTTTCCATGTGTTTGATTTTTTTTTGCTTGCTTTTTCTGTTATTGATTTCTACTTTTATGGCTTTATGGTCAGAAAAGATACTTTGTAATATTTTGATGCTTTCGATTCTGGTAAGCTTTATGGTCTAAGATGTGGTCTGTTCTGGAGAATATTCCATTGTGCGTTGGAAAAGAAAGTACACTTGGCTGCTGTTGGGTGGAGTGTTTGGTGTACGTCCATTAGATCAAGTTGGTTGATTGTAGCATTTAGATCTTCCATGTCTTTATTAAGCTTCTTTCTGGATGTTCAGTTCTTCACTGAAAGTGTTATGTTGAAGTCTCCTACTATTATTATAGAGCTGTCTATCTCTCTTTTGAATGCTGTTAGAGTTTGTTTTATGTATCTTGGAGCCTCGTCGTTGGATGAGTAAATATTTATCATAGTTGTGTCCTCCTGGTGTACTGACCCTGTAATCATTAGTGTCCTTATCCTTTGTGGTGGATTTTACTTTAAAGTCTATTTTGTCAGAGATTAATATTGCCACTCCTGCTCTTTTTTGAGTGTTGTTTGGTTGATGTATTTTTTTCTATTCTTTGAGTTTTAGTTTGTGTCTTTAAGGTGTGTCTCTTGTACGCAGCATATAGATGGATCGTGTTTTTTTATCCAGTCTGCCACTCTGTGTCTCTTTATTGGTGCATTTAGTCCGTTTACATTCTGCGTAATTATTGATAGGTATGAGTTTACTGCTGTCATGTTGATGTCTTTTTTTGTGCGTTGTTCACAGTTTCTTTGTTCCATTTAATTTTCTGTGCTGAGTCGTTTTTCTTTATGTATTTTCGTCATTGATGATCTTCTATTTGCCGAGTCTTTATATTTTTCTTGTTTTTTTTTTTGATGTATAGGATTGTTAGTCTCCTTTGTGGTTACCTTAAAGTTTACCCCTGTTTTTCTAAGTTTATACCATTCTTTTATTTCTTTATATTGCCTTGACTTCTCTCTGTATGAAGAGCTATGACTATATTTTTTAGGTCCTCTTTTTCGTTTTAATGTTGTTATCTTTTACATATTGACATCTCTGTTACCCTATTTTCAGTGTTTTAGCTTTATTTTTGTGACTTCCCTGTCCGGGTTGATACCTAGTTGATCTGTCCTGTGTTCTAGTCTTGGGTTGTTATCTGATGTTATTGATTTTCTAACCGGAGCACTCCTTTTAATATTTGTTGTAATTTTTAAAAAATTTTTATTATTTTTTTATTGTACTTCAGGTGAAGGCTTACAGAACAAATAGTTTCTCATGAAACAGTAGTACACGTGTTGTTTTATGACATTGGTTAACAACCCCACAGCATATCAGTTCTCTAACTTCTCAACTTCTTTTTTTGGTGAAATTACACATAGCCAAAGATACACCATTTCAAAAATTTCTACATGCACAGTTCAGTGACATTGACTATGCTCTTCCAATTGTGCTGTTATTCTCACTTAAGATGAAGGCTTACAGAACAAAATAGTTTCTCGTTTAACAGTTACTACAAATGTTGCCCTATGACAATGGATAATAATCTCACAACACATCAACACTATCCTTACTCAACCGTGGGTTCCCTATCACCAGCTTCCTTGTCCCCTTCTGCCTTCTGGCCCTTGTCACTGGACTCCTGTACCTTGTTAGTCTCATTTGGTTTTACGGGGCTGTCCACTCCCAGGCTGAACAGTGAACCTCGGAGGTAGCTTCACCACTGAGCTAAAAGGGTGTCTGGTGGCCATACTCTCGGGGTTTCTCCAGTCTCCTTTAGGCCAGTAAATCTGGTCTTTTTTCGTGTGAGTTAGAATTATGTTCTACATCCTTCTCCAGCTCTGTCCAGAACCCTCTGTTGTGATCCTGGTCAGAGCAGTCAGTGGTGGTAGCCGGGCACCATTGGTTTTGTTTTTGCAAATTCCCTACACTTCTGTTTATCTGGAAATGTCCTAATTTCACCGTTATACTTGAGAGACAGTTTTGCTGGATATGTAGTTCTTGCCTGGTAGTTCTTTTTTCCTTCAAGGCTTTCTTTATGTCATCTCATTGCATTCTTGCCTGCGTGGTTTCTGCTGAGTACTCCGAGTTTAGTCTTATTGACTCTCCTTTATAGATGACTTTTCATTTATCCCTAGCCACTCTTAAAATTCTCTCTTTATCTTTGGTTTTGTCAAGTTTAAGATTATAATATGTCTTGGTGACGTTCTTTTAGGATCTGCCTTATGTGGGGTTCAGTGAGCATGTTAGATATCTTGTCATCTTTCATGGTATCAGGGAAGTTTTCTGTCAACAAATCTTCAACAATTCTCACTGTATTTTCTGTTATCCCCCCCTGTTCTGGTTCTCCAGTCACTTGTAGGTTATTCCTCTTGATAGAGTTCCACATAATTCTTAGGGTTTGTTCATTTTTTTAAGTCCTTTTATCTGAGTTTTCTCAAATAAACTTGGTGTCAAGTGCTTTATCTTCAATCTCACTAATTCTGACTTCCATTGCCTTATTTCTGCTCCTATTACTTTCTGTTGAGTTGTATAATTCTGTAATTTATTGTTAGTCTTCTGGATTTCTGATTGCTGTCTCTCTATGAATTCTTGCAGCGTGTTAAATTTGTCATTATACTCTTCTCTAATCTTCTCAGGTTCTTCTATCACTAGGCCTGCATTTTGCCAGATCTATTTTCTGATTTCTTGGAGAGTTTTGTAGATTAATCTTTCATATTCTGCCTCTGGTAATTCCAAGAAATTCTCTTCCTCCGTAAAATTTTTTGATTGTTTATATTGGGAGCTTGCTGAAGCCATCATAGTCTGCCTCTTTATGCGACTTTACGTGATTTGATATTGACTCTTGTCTCCCAGCCATCAGTAAGTTATTATATTTATTTCTTTTATGTTTGCTTACTGTGTCCTAGCTTTTTGCTTTGTTTTGTTTTGATATGCCCTAATAGGCTGCTTGTGTGAGCTAGCCCGATCACCAATGTCCTGCCACCAGGTGGTAAGTCCTGTCTCTAAGTATGTGAGCCCAGGAGTTCACCCACTGCTCCTGCCTGGAGTCAGCTCAGGTGTCCAGGTAGTTGGCCAAGAAGTATGTGGTGCAGGCTCACACCCATAGTCCTAGACAGGCATGGGTGGTTGTTGTAGGCACAGGCATTTGGTTGCAGCAGAGGGTCACAGGCTGAGCAAGGCAGGAGGCTGACGGCTGCCCCTGAGTGTCCGGGAGGAAAGCGTGTCCTCCTTCCCTAGAGTGCTTAGGTGGATGGGTTTTGCAGCTGGAATATGAGCACCCAGTGCTGTTGGGTGTAAGGACTAGGGGGCAGCATTTATTCTTGGCCTCCTGCCGCAGGTGGCTAGGTGGTGTGGGTAGGGCCAGCAGTCCTCAGGCCCTTGATGTGGGTACGTGAAGACCCTGCTTAATGAGCAGAGCAGCGTCAAATGGCATGAATTTTCCACTTCACAGCTGAAACAGTGGAAGATAGACTTCCGGTATATATGTTGTTCTGCGGTATTGAGGGCCTACACTGTTGAAATGGGCCCACACAAGTTTATGCAGGTGGAAAGGCACTTAAAGTCTGTGGACCCCCTATGCCTGTGCCTAGGCAAAGAAGCTGTTCCTACCCTGAGTTCGTGGCTCAGGGGAGCTGGCAGATTATTTTTTCGCTGTTTGTTAACTTGTTCCCTCTCCAAGGTTGGGAGAATGGCTCAGGGTGGGTCACGGGTCATACTTCCAACCTAGTGGAGTCGGCAGTTGCTGAAGCTGGTCCCGGACCCAGTGCAAAGCAGAGAGCAGGGAGGTAAATGGGAGAGATGTTTTTCCCAAACGGGGGTGTTTTTGATCTGCACGGTAGGCCAGAAGCAAGTACTTATCTTTCGCTGATCGAGCGCTGCTTCTCACTGGCTCCATTTGGCCGAGTAGACTCTCTGCTGCCGGGTCTCTCCTGATGGGGAAAACGCATCCCGAGTGCCGCTGCTTGCCTGCCTTGCTGTGCAGTACGAGCTGATCAGGCCTGAAATACTCAGGCTCTTGCGGGGTCAGGTCTAACAACTCCTTGCTGCTTCCGAACCGTCTCTCCCTCTCCTTGCTGCTCAGTCCGATTCCTCAACTTTGCCTTTGATGTTCAGGGCTCCTAGATTGTCATATATAATCGATTCACTTGTTTTTTCAGGTCTTTGTTGTAAGAGGGGCCACGAGAAGCATCTGACTACTCTGCCATTTTGGCTCCCCACTAGTATTTTCTTGAGCTCTCTGTCCCTCCAAAGTTCAAGCAGATGGGTGGCCATCTGTCACGGCTGGCTGGATTTGTAGCTCTCAAAGGGCATTTGTGGAATCCCTGGGTGGTGCAAATGATTAATGTATTTAGCTGGTAACCAGAAGGTTGGAAGTTTGATTCCACCCAGAGATACCTTGGAAGAGGGCCTGGGGATCTACTTCTGAAAAAATCAGCCATTGAAAGCCCTCTGGAGCACAGTTCTACTCTGACAAACATAGGGTTACTGTAAGTTGGAGTCAACTTGTTGACAACTTTTTTTTTTTTTTAAGGACATTTGCAGTGTTACAGTTCTGTCCAATGCCAGTAGCTGTTTAATTGATTAATGCCTTTGTTTCAAAGCTGACTTAACTGGAAAATCAGTGTATTGTTACAAGACATATAAAGCTTAATATTTTGTTAAATTATATTATCTTACACATTTTTTTTTAGGCCAAAGGTTTGGATGCAGTTGTTCTGAGTCTGCTCATTCTAGATGGTGAATCAGTCTACAGCTTGACATTGAAGCCTATATTGCTGTTATTAGCCCGAGTTATCCTAGTCAATGTAAGACATAAACTGACAGCTATTCAGGTAAGGAAAGAAAAAGATCCATGGAGATTATATGTAGGTGTGACTTTGTGCTTAATTAGCATCAGACTGTAGGTGTGATATTAACAATGTCTTAGTATATTTTGTTTTCTAAGTATTCTGATAGGTATTTAATTTTAAATTCTGATGAAAATAAGGAAAAACTTCTTCCCTCATGTGATTCATCTAGTATAAAATGAGATTATGTTGAGCCTCTTTGATAGGATTGTGTGTGTGTGTGTGTGTGTGTGTGTGTGTGTGTATGTGTGTGTATATATGTTCAGTCTCTGAATCCTAAATACAGGTTTAAAACACACTCTTGATAAATGAAGCCCTGATACATGCTACAACATGGATGAACCTTGAGAACATTATACGGAATAAAATAAGTCAGTCACAAAAGGACAAATGTTGTATGATCCCACTTACGTGAAATATCCAGAATAGCAAATGCATATAGACCAAAGATTTATTGGTGGTTGCCAGGTTGGGAGGAAGGGGGAAAGAGGGAATCATTGGTTGGGGGCACTGAGCTTCTGGTAAGGATGATGGAAAAATTTGAAAACGGATAGTAGTGATGGTTGTACAACGTGATAAGCATCATTAATGTAACTGAATTGTGCATGTAAAAATGTTGAAATATATATTTATCACAATAAAAAAGTAAAAAAACAGAAAACAAAAGGAAAAAAACCCAACCCCCCTAAATCCTTCATAGACTTTTGTTATGAATATATATAACAATATATTTGCTATTTCAACCATTTTTACATGTACAATTCAGTTACGTTAATTATGTTCTCCCATGCTGTGCAACCATTACCACTATCTGTTTCTAAATTTTTTCATTACCGTTAACAGAAACTCAGTACCTCTTAAGCAATACCTTCCCACCCCTACTCCATCCCTAGTAACCACTAATAAACTTTGGTGTATAAGCGTTTGCCTGTTTTGGGTATTTCATGTAAGCGGGATCTTAAAATATTTATCCTTTTGTGTCTGACTTATTTTACTTAGCATAAACTTTTTTTAAAATTTATTTATTTTTTATTGTAGTACTTTAGATGAAGGTTTACAGAACAAACTAGATTCTCATTAAACAGTTAGTACACATATTGTTTTATGACATTGGTTAACAACCCCACAACACGTCAACACTCTCCCTTCTCAACCTTGGGTTCCTTATTACCAGCTTTCCTATCCCCTCCTGCCATCTAGTCCTTGCCCCTGGGCTGGTGTACTCCTTTAGTCTCATTTTGTTTTATGGGCTTGTCTAATCTTTGGCTGAAGGGTGAATCTCAGGAGTGACTTCGTTACTGAGATAAAAGGGTGTCCAGGGGCCATACTCTCAGGGTTTCTCCAGTCAGGCCAATAAATCTTGTCTTTTTTGTGAGTTAGAATTTTGTTCTACATTTTTCTCCAGCTCTGTCCGGGACCCTCTATTACGATCCTTATCAGAGCAGTCAGTGGTAGTAGCACCATCTAGTTGCACTGGACTCAGTCTGGTAGAGGCCGTGGTAGATGTGGTCCATTAGTCCTTTGGCCTAATCTGGAAAAAGTGCTTTCTCATGAAACAGTAGTACACATATTGTTTTATGACATTGGTTAACAACCCCACAACATGTCAACCCTCTAACTTCTCAACTTTTTTTTTGGTGAAAATACACATAGCCAAAGATACACCATTTCAAAAATTTCTACATGCACAGTTCAGTGACATTGACTACGCTCTTCCAGTTGTGCTGCTATTCTCACTTAAGATGAAGGCTTACAGAACAAAATAGTTTTTCATTTAACAGTTACTACACGTGTTGCCCTATGACAATGGTTAACTAGCGTAAACTTTTCAGGGTTCATCTGTGCCCTAGCAAGTATCAGAATTTCATTTCTCTTTATGGCAGAGTAGTATTCCATTGTATGTATATACCACATTTTATTCATTCATCTGTTGATGGACACTTAGGATATTTTTACCTTTTGGCTGTTGTGAATAATGCTGCAGTGAACACTGGTGTATAAGTATCTGTTTGATCCTTGATCCCTGTTTGTAGTTCTTTTGGGTATTTACCTACGAGTGGAATTGCTAGGGGAACTGCCATACTGTTTTCCACAGTGGCTGTACCATTTTACGGTTCCACCAGCAATGGATAGTTTTACAGTTTCTCCACATTCTTGCAAACACTTATTATTTTTCATTTTTCTGATAGTAGCCATCCTAGTGGGGGTGAAGTGGTATCTCGTTGTTTTGGTTTTCATTTTCCTAATGACTAATAATGTTGAGCGTTTTTTCATGTGCTTATTGGCCATTAATGTATCTTCTTCGGTGAAATGTCTGTTCAAGTCCTTTGCCCGTTTTTTATTGTGTTATTTGTCTCTTTTGCTGTTGAGTTGTAGTTCTTTATGTATTCTGGATATTAAACCCTTATCAGATATATGGTTCCCAAGTGTTTTCTCCCAATCTCTAGGTTGTCTCTTCACTTTGTTGATAAAGTCCTTTGATGCACAAAAGTTTTTAATTTTGATTATTTATTCTATTCATTTACCTATTTTGTCCTCTGTTGCTTGGCTTTTGGTGTCATATCTAAGAATCTGTTGTTGAAAACTATGTCCTGAAGCATTACTCCTATGTTTTGTTCTAAGAGTTTTATGGTTTTAGTTCTTACATGTAGATCTTTAATCCCTTTTGGTGTGAGGTATGGGTCTGTCTTCATTCTTCTGCATGTGGAGATCCAGATGTCTCAGCACCTTTGTATATTTTTATGAATTTTGTATAAGGATAATGAACAATAGCCAGAAGTGCGGCATTTTTGAAATGGATCTTAATTACTGTTTTCTGGCTCACGTCCTACCTTGTTTCATTTTTTGGGTTTGATTTAATAAGACATTTATTGAATATAAGCTAGTCAGGAGAAGTACTCACACTCACAGAAAGCCAATCTGCATTAGGAGGTGACAGAAACCACAAAAGAGATGCAAAGAAAGTGCTTCAGAGGTTTAATGGGGAGAGAGATCATGTTTATTGAGAGAATCAGGGAAGACTTCAAAGAGTAAGTGGTATTTGAGCAACATTTTAAGGGTTGATGGGATGAATTGGAGTGGGGGTTGAAAGAAAGAAAAACATTTCAATGAGAGGAAACAGTATGAACAGTGACACATAAGTTGTGGGTGTGGGGAATGAGGAGTAGACTAGTTTGGATATAAAATATGAGAAAGAAGTTAGTATAAGCCAAAGCTGGAAAAGTTTGTTTGTTCATGTAGGAGCTCGAAAGTTTTGTTAAGAAGATTTAAGTATTTAGTGAGAAGCAGGAAGCCTTGAAGGGTTTTGAGCATGGATGTGAAACTATCACAGCTGATTTCAGGAAGAGCGCTTGGGTGGCAATGGCATGTTGGCAATGAAAATGTTAGATTGGAGGCCAGGAGACCAATTGGAAGAGGATTATAGAATGAGTGGGAGAAATAATAACAATTGAACAAGAGCGATGGTACACAGAATAGATAAAAGCGGAATTGGAGTGGAAGATTCTGTAGGAAGAGGAAACTGATTGGATCTGGAATAAATAGGGAGAAGTATCAAATATGACACTGGTGTTCCACCCTGGGACCGTGGTGATACTGATAATAAGAATGACAGAGGGTGTTGAATCTGATTTTAGCCTCCTGAGTTTGAAACATCCAAAGAGTATGCAGATTACCTTTGTATGAGACTCTGCTAAACCTTAAATCACTTAGAAAAGTAAGAGCTTCTAAATTAGGTTGTCCGCTGTGCGGTGTGCAGTTTTTGCTGCAGCTACTACTCACTCTGCAATTGTAACTATGAAAGCAGCTGTAGATAATATGTAAACAAAAGAGCATGGCTGACTTCCAGTAAAGCTTTATTTATGGACACTGAAATTTGAATTTCATATAATTTTCACATATCATGAAATATTAGTCTTCTTTGGATTTTTTTTCAACTATTAAAAAATGTAAAAACTATTCTTAGCTCATGAGCTTACAAAATCAGGCAGAGGGCTAGGTTTGGCCCATAGGCTGTAATTTGCCCATCCCTGCTGACTGTTACAATTTAGGGATGCACATTTCGTGTTGCCAGAAATAGTCAAGCCACATTTTAATGCAAAATCTACCAATTTTAGTTGTTGGATGAAAAATTTTAAAAAACTCAGTATTTATATGGGCCAAATGTAGACTTTTTTGGCCTGTATTGTGTAAAAACTTATTTTCCTAAGCATTTTAAGTTTAGACCATGACTTGATTTTAGAGAAGTATAAGAAGGGGAATGATGCCTCCATCTGCAACTTTTATGAGAGCTAGAGGGTTCGGAATCATTTGTACTAGAAGGGTTTTAATAGGAGGGTTTCAAAATGTCCTAGCAGGTAAGTCTTATCTTTGATATAGCCCCTGGGTGGTATAAACAGTTAATGCACTTGGCTGCTAACTGAAAGGTTGGAGGTTCAAGTCCATCCAGAGGTGCTTCAGAAGAAGGGCCTGGCAATCTGCTTCTGAAAAGCCAGCCATTGAAAACCCTATGGAGCACAGTTCTATTCTGACTCACATGGGGTCGCCATGAGTCAGATCGACTCGGCAGCAACTGGTATATCTTTGACCTTTTAGTGACATTAGCTTGAATAAAATTTTTTTCCCAAGATCATCTGAGTTAAATGGCCTTACAGACTGGTACTTGGCAGAGGCTGCCAGATGTTTCTAGTGAAACTAATGGTCATTAGTGAGTGAGTGGTACAGTTTTCATTCATCATAAGTTTTCATCAGCAAGTATGTTAAGCATCATTTGAAAAAAGATACCCGTTATTATCAACAATTTAGGAGAATAATACGTGAACTGCTGGTGTGGATGTCATACTTCGTAGAGTTGGAGAGACAAGTCATCTTAATTTCTTGGCAGATGCTTAACAACTTTTTACTTCTGCTTAAAACCTTATTTTCTTGTACATCACCGTGTAAACATTCTGTGGAGAAATCGTGCCTTTCAATTGAAACATTATTCTTTTATTGAAGTGTTTTTTGCTTTGGGTCTTTAGTATATCATTCTTTTAATGGTGATATTAAAAAATTGCTCTTTGATAAATGAAGATAAAATGATAAAGAAGCAGCACATACTTATTCAGGTTAATTTTAACCTTTATAATTCTTTTTTAATAGTCTGCCTCCTAAGAAATACACTGAAGTTATTCATTATGATATCATTGTTTTTATGGAACTGTAAAGGAAGATAATTCCCCCACTGTCTTACCCGCTAGTCTGTAAACTCTGTAGACTACTGGTAGTAATACATAAATGTTGAGAAAAGAGTCTTGGCTTTGAAATCAGACCAGAGTTTATCTGGCTCAGCCACTTGGCAGCTGTGCAACCTTATGCTAGTTAGTTTCTCTATCAGTTTCCTTATTGATAAAATGGAGTAAATTGGCAAACATTTATTGGATGCCTTTTGAGTACACTAATGGCCCTGCCTTCCAAGGGGTTATCGATAGTGTGACTTCCAAGACTGAACACTCTGATAACTGCTATAATCAGGAGACAGGATCTAGAAATGAGCTGAAACAAGGTTTCAAGTTTCTCTTTTTAATCATGCCTCAGTCTTTCTACTAAGCAGTTTTTGGCAAAGAAAAAAAGGCAGTTATATTTTCTAGTAGAAAAATTTGTTTCATTACGCCTCCTCCCCAAATAAAGACTTTGGGTTAAGTGTTAATTTATAGGTCTGATAGGAGTTCAGGATCTTGTAATGTATGTTTTCTTAAAAGGGCAATCTCTTTGAGTGGCTCTATCTAAATTCCCGTATCTAGAAAAGGAAAATGTCTGCTGCCAAACCTGACTCACTTATTGCAATAGCAGATAAGGGGCAGATAATTGAAATGTAGACTGACTTCATTAGCTTTAGTGATAGGAAAAGAATGAAAATGAGGCAGCACCTCAGGGAATTAAATTAAAAATGATATGAAACTTTCTTTCTGTTAGATAATTCTACCTTTCCTTACATGGACTGAGGAAACAGCATTCCGAATTAGAAAGGATTTTGTCATAGAGTGGGAATTCATTTGTGACTGCATCTTTGTCGTAACAGTTGTCCTTGGGGAGTTCAGAAGGGAACTAGGCTGTTTTACTGCTTAATCAAATGAAGAAATTTAGTTCAAGTAAACTTGATTACTTGGTCTCCTACTAGTAGGTATATTGCTTTTCAAAAAAGGAAAATTTGTTTCTTATACCTTCATGTAATATAATTCAAGGTAATACAGTTATAATTAATTTTGATGATTCGGTGTATGATCATATTTGATACTTCTAGCAGCCTATTAAAAACATTTAATACCTGTTATCACAGACACACACGTGAACGCATAGAAGAGGTTCTAGAAGAATATACACCTTTGTCAGGAATTTTTCTGGTGGAAGAGGAAGGGGTTGGGCAGTAGAGGAGAGACTTTGACCCTTACTGTAAATGCTTCTGTATTGGCTTTTTTAAAACAAGAATGCATTGATTAAGTGAGAACAAGCAGCTGAGAATAGAAGTCACTATGTTCTCAACCTGTGGGTTAATCAAGACAATGCATAAAACGCAGTTTCTACTTTCAAAAATGTGCGGTCCAGGTAGAGTTATACACTGATGTGGTGCTAATTTCTAGGAACAGTGTAGAAGTTCAGAGAAGCCATGTTAGTAGAAGAAGAATTTATGGAAGAGGTTTCATGTGAAAGACAGGGAGGTAGAGGGGTCTTCCCAGTTTTGGAGAATGTCTAAATCCAAGGTATTTTCTTATTATGTAGCTTGTGCAACATACATTGCTTTCGGAAGGACATAATTTCTCACTTGTGGGGTAAATGGGGGATGACGTGCACAAATACAGTGAAATGTGTTTGCACAGAGAGGTGCAAATAATGTGCTGGAAGTGCAAACAAAGGGAAATTGTCCCCTCAGGAGGACTTGGTACTTGGTTTTGGTGGTGATGGGTGCCACAGCACAGCAGGATAATTTTAACAGTATTTTAAAGGAGATGGTCAGTTTGAAGTGACATCAGAAAGCCCAACTGGCTAAAAAATACAGACTTTGAGAGAATGGAGGGAAGATTTTATTCTTGTGGAAGACGTAGAAGTGGATTTGGGTATTGTTACTGAGGACTTATCGTGAATGGGTAAGCTTACTGAGGAATAAATTTAATCTCATGAATATAAAAAAAAATTTCTAAAAATTAACTTCAATTAATGTAAAAACAATTTTTTTCCCAAAGTGTTCTTTTATTCCAGCTTATGTGGTACTTTCTTTTTCTAGAGCTTGCCGTGGTGGACTTTGAGATATGTGAATATTCATCAGCAGTTGCTTGAGGAGCGCTCACCTCAGCTTTTTGCTCTTGCTGAATACTGTATTGATCAAGGTATGTAGCAGATTTTTATTTGATTTGGGTATGTAACTCCATTCTAATTTCTTAGCTTTTCAGTTTTTTCTTTGACAGGTAATAAATAGTAACTTTTTGTTTGAGGTTATTCCCTTTGGTTCCTTTTTTTTCTGTGTGTGGAGTATCACAAATTATTAAGGTATGTCAGATTGTAGAATTTATTTTGGTCTTTTGATCTTTTAAAAAGTCAATCACTTTCGTTTATATTGTCTACTTGGAAAGTGTGATTTGTTCTGTGGCGGTTACCATGATTTTATCACAAATTGCTTAAAGGTGTTTTAATATTTTTTCCTGTTCTTTAATCAAAGAAGCCTCATTGGAAATAAATGTCAGCTCCCTTTATTTAAAAAAAAAGTCCTTAGCTAAACTTGAGCTGGAGTATTTTGTGCTAAATTACCTGCAGAATAGGCAATTGTTTTTTCTCTTATATCGTATTGAGTTCATGAAGAAAGTGTTCATATTTTTAACCTTTGGTAGAAAATACATTTTGCTGAGGATGACAACTGGTAGGAAGGTATTTTTACATTTTGTTTTATTATTTTGTATTGTAATATATAATGTTCATATAGAAAAGTACCTAAAAAGTATAAATGAAAAATTTAGCAAATAATTATTAAGCAGTCACCCATGTAAATGCCACCCACTGCCTTTGGTGCAGATGCCTCTCATGTTTCCTAGAGAAGCATTTTAAAAGTGAGGAGAATCTTGGGTACTCAATACTCAGTTTCTAGGGTCCCTTGGAACAATTTCTCTTGGCTAAAGAAGCCAAACAAAACAAAATAAAAGCAAAAACAAATTCTCTTGTAATGAAGGAGTACTTGAACACGAATGAACTTGGACTTGGTAATGAACTTCTGAGTTACAGAGATAGGACTTGGCTTTAGATATGTCTGATTCCAAAGCCCATGCTCGTTTCACATCCCAGGAATATAGAGTGAATATGTATGTGTGAGCATATGTATGTATAAGGAGGTGGTGGTGGGGGTTAGAATTACTCTGTGTATGGAGAAGCAGTCATTTGTCCTTGAGGGAGGTAGCACATTCATGAAAGCATGTATAATTTTAAGAACCTTCTGTACCTTACGGGGGTCTCTTTCTGTATTACGATATAGTAGTAAGGAGCCTTGGTTGCACAGTGGTTAAGCACTCAGCTGCTTTCTGTAGGAGAAAGACCCTAGTGATCTGCTCCTGTAAAGATTAAAGTCTAGAAAACCCTATGGGGCAGTTCTACTGGGATCTACTATCACATGGGATCGCTGTGAGTCGGAATCCACTCAGCGGCACTCAACAACAACATACGGTAACAAGCTAGGCCAGAATGCTCTAGAGGGGAGTGTAGCTTGTGCAGTAATATTACTGTTTAGGCTGGGTTCTATAGGAGAGCAAAACCAGTGAAAGGTGTATATAAATATTGAGAGAGAGAATTATTTCAAGACAATGACTCATGCAGTTGTGGAGGCTGACAAGTCCCAAATCTGTGGGTCAGGCATCAGGCTGGAGGCTTCTCTTGACTCATGTGGTTGCAGGAGCTGATAAACCCAAAATCGGCAGGTCAGATGGAAGGCTGCTGGCTCACATCCCAAGAACTGGAGGTCAGAGGATGACGAGTTGGATACAGGATCGGGAGAGAGCAAACTTTGCCAGAACATCCATATGTATTGGATGCATGCCACACCCCCAAGGAAGCTCCCCTTTCAGCGGATTGGCTGCTCACATCAGATCACAAAATGGAGGATGACTGCATTATATCTGCCCAACCACTGAGAATCATGGCCTAGCCAAGTTGGCACGTAAACTTAACCATCACAATTACTAAGCTAGGTGATTGTTTAAAACTAATTTTTCCAATTTTTGTTTGTTCAAAGACAAATATATAAACTTATGCTAATCTTAGGTAAAATGAGCATCTATTCGTGGTTCAAAAATAAAGTATATTCAATCAGTATAATAACTGATTCATTTATGTTGTTTGTACTAGGTCTTAAGAGAGCTTAACAGTCTTTCAAGATTTCAAGTAATATGAGTTTGTGCAACAAGCAAGGGCTTGTTAGATCACCTGAGCTCAAACTTTGTATATGAAAAAAAAGTTTATTCTGCCATGGGATTTATGCCTAACATTAATTGTTTATTAAATTAAGGAGATTACTTTCCTATACAATGATCTTTATTAAGTAACAACTGAAAAATATCTTTTTCTTCTGGAAAAATCTTAGGTCCTCCAAAAGTCTTTGGTTTATTGCTTATTAAATTACAAAGACTTTATGAGCAAATTTAATGAACCATTTGTCTTTTCACTAAGACTATAAGCACCTCTGTAGGTTGTGAGCTCTTTGAGGGCTGAAGTTTTTGCTTGTTTCTATTAGCATAGTTGTAGATAGTTACCATCAAGTTGATTCCAACTCATGGTTGGAATATGCAGCAAAACAAAATGTTACCCCGTCTTGTGTCATCTTTGAGTTCATTGTTGTGGCTCTTGTGGCAGTCCATCTTACTGAGGGTCTCCCTCACTCTTGTTGGTCCTCTACTTCACCAGACATGGGGTCCTTCTTCAGCAATTGATCCTTCCTGATGATGTGTCCAAAGCAAGCAAGTTGGACAATGCTCTGTTGTGATCCATAAGTTTTCACTGGCAAATTTTCAGATGTAGATTTCCAGGCTTTTCTTCCTAGTCTGTCTTTGTCTGGAAGCTCCACTGAAACCTGTGTAGCATGGGTGACCTGCTAATATTTGAAATACTGGTGGTATAGCTTCAAGTATCCCAGCAACATGCAGGCCACCACAGTATAACAAACTGACAGACAGGTGGTGGTTCTGTTAGCACAGTAGCTAGAAAATACAGATATTTAGTACATATTTGTTGAATAATAATAGCTGACATTTATTGAGCCCTTACTACATGCTAGACACAATATTAAACATTTTAATTTTATTATCTTACTGAATCCTTACAACATCCCAAAGATATATATACTAATCTACGTTTTACAGATGAAAAACTGAGGCACAGAGAAGTTGAGTAACTGAAGTTCTCTAACGTACCTCGCCTCAAATCGGCGGAATGAGGATTTATTAGAATTTATTAGGTTGTCTTATTCTAGAATTCATGCTCTTAACTGCTGTGCTATTTTGCCTCCTTTGAGTGTATTTAAGAAGATTCAGGATTGGAAATTAGATCAGTCATTCTCAACTTCACTGCATTTTAGAATTACCTGGTGTCATGGATTGAATTGTGTCCCCCAAAAATATCTGTCAACTTGGCTAGGTCATGATTCCAGGTATTGTATTATTGTCTACCGTTTTGTCATCTGATATAATTTCTCTATGTGTTGTAAATGCTGTCACTGTGATATAATAAGATGGATTAGTGGCAGTTATATCGATGAGGTCTACAAGATTAGATAGTGTCTCAAGCCAATCTCTTTCGAGATATAAAAGAGAGAAGCGAGCAGAGAGACATGGGGACCTCATACTACCAAGAAAGCAGCACCAGGAGCAGAGCATGTCCTTTGGACCTAAGGTTCCTGCGCTGAGATCCTCCCAGACCAGGGGAAGACTGATGACAAGGACCTTCCTCCAGAGCCGATAGAGAGAGAAAGCCTTCCCGTGGAGCTGACGCCCTGAATTTGGACTTGTAGCCTACTAGACTGTGAGAGAATAAATTTCTCTTTATTAAAGCCATCCAGTTGTGGTATTTCTGTTATAGCACCACTAGATGACTAGGACACCTGGGGATCTTTGAAAAATACTGGTGTCTGGCCCTCACCTTCAGATACTCTGAGTTAGTGGACTTGGACCTACTTTGTTTCTGATTAGGGTTATGCTCTCAATGAAATGTTTTCTTTCAACGCCATTAACCTAGCCTGAGAATAATGAAGTTGTTCTGTCATTAGAGCAGGGACTCTTCACTTTTGTCTTAGTGGTAAATGAACCCCAGAAATTGTATGCAAAATGGTGTTTTTTAGGGGAGAAGTTATAGAACTTCATTTAAGGAAGCAGTGTTGGTGCCCGGATATACTTTGTCTTCCATTTTGATAGCAGTTTTTATCAGAGTTAACATATGTACGAGGGTATTTCAAAAAGTGAAATATTATAGAAGTTATGAGAAAATTGATCCTATACAGGTACCATATGGGACTTTGAGTCTTCTCATAATAGTGTTGCTAAGGTGTGGAGTTCTCTTCAGAATGAAATACGAAGCAGAATTTGGAGAAAATTAAGACCTGATGCCCTACTTAGCAGACATGTTGTTGTCCTTTTTTTATTTCTAATAAAATGAAAAATGAGTAGACTAAATCTTCTCCTGTACGTGCCATTGCAGATTTTTGAAATGAAGTGAGATACAGTCATAAACAAACAGTGCAGTAGGCATAAGTCTCCAATTCATGAAATTGGGTAAGGTTTTGAAACTCAGGGATGAGTTGAAGGTCAGTGTTAGTAATAGGGAAAAAAGTTGATATTTCCAGAGGATAATTAAAACATTTAGAAGAAGATGGCATCAGTATTCAGTCCACTATCTCTATTTTTGTCAAAAGGTAGTTACATTATACTGCATAAGATGTAATGCTGTTACCTCTGCTACATTATACTTTTATGGAAAATTGGTAAATCAACAAAAAGCAAGAAATCACTGGGAGTTTTTTTTTTTCATGGAAATAAAGTTTGATGCAATAGCTATAGGGAAAATCCCATTCTTTGCTTTATCCCATATTACATAAATCTACATTTATGGCTACATCTTTATCACATCTTAGTGATTAATGTTCATAATTATGACCCTTAATTAAGAAAAGAAAAAAAAATTCCCTTATGTACCATTTTAAAAGATAGGAGACCGTCTGGTGTATTTTAGAGGGAATTCTATTCTAAGAGGTAAAGTTTAGTTCCAAAACAGAAAGGTTAACTAAGAGATCTGGAAATTATGACTCTAACTGACTCATTCCCCAAGTGGTCTTAATTCATTTCTGTATTGTATTTCAGCA